TGTGTGTGTGTGTGTGTGTGTGTGTGTGTGTGTGTGTGTGTGTGTGTATGTGTGTGTGTGGGGGTTTGTCTGCAGGTATCTGAAAGTTAGATTTAAAACTTAAACTGTTATTTTTCATTTCTTCAGATTTGAGTTGTGGGTTATTGAGCGCCACCTGTGGTTGGTGGTGGTAACTGCAGGCTGTTACTAAAAGGCGCAGGGGTGAGGTGGTAATTAAAGGGCTTTGGTACTGCAACTACCATGATGCGTTGGGGGATGGTAACCCATATAAGCATGTCTTAATCTTCACCCTGCTTTCCCATTTATTTTTATTTTAAAAAAGTTTAAAGATGTACAGAAAAAAATATCTGCATTTTGAGAAGACGTTAAAACATCTTGAGAAACAGTTGAAACATTGCAAAATAAATATAGACCAAAAACTCTGAATATATACACAGAGAAAATGGTAATATTTACATAGAAAGGTCTGAATATTTTGGAGTTCATTATGAGAAAAAAGTCTTAATTCTGTGAGATATAAAGATTGAATATTTTTAGAAATAATTGAAAAAATGTAGAATTTCATTGCCAAAATATAAAAAAATGTATTATTTACCCACAGAACATCACACACACAGTACTTATTATTATAGGTGTAATTAAAGTATATTGAAAGTGTGTTTTCAGGGCTTACCTTGGGTGGCGATATAGTGATTGGGTCGGTGGTATCCCTGAGAGGAGAGGAAACACTTAATTAGAAATGAAAATATCCCAAAAATGTAATTAGATAGACATAAAATTATGTTTTTATGCCATCTAGTTTAATTATATTGGGGAGAAGCCCACACACACACACACACACACACACACACACACACACACACACACACACACACACACACACACACACACACACACACACACACACACACACACACACACACACGCTGCTTCATGCTGTAACGATTCATTGATTAACTGATGATGCACCAGTTTCTGTTTTCTGACATTTACAAAACAAAAAATTGTGTTTTGTGTGTATTTATAATAATTATTGTTCGTTGAAAAAGTTGTATCCTGCGCTCTCATTGGCTAATCTTTATATATCTGATGTCGCTGGTTGTGATTTGCTGAAACTGTCATCACACTTAATAGTGTATCTAATGCAGTGATGCTTTAAAGACAAAATGAATGGGTTGCCAATTTTTCAAAAATGGTTGCTGTGTAAAAAAAAGAAAGTTATATGGAGCCCCCGTAATCATTTATAGAAGTGTGTGTGTGTGTGTGTGTGTGTGTGTGTGTGTGTGTGTGTGTGTGTGTGTGTGTGTGTGTGTGTGTGTGTGCTCACCTCGTACTCCTCTTTAAAGCCGTACCCCTCGGCACACTTCATCTGAGTGATGTGCTGCAGGAGGTCAGCCACCCTGATGGCGGGGTGCAGCTGTCCCGTCTGATAGGGCAACGCCTCTCTCTCTGACTCTCGCTGCTTATAGTGCGACTGAACCAGGCTGCTGGTCTCACTGGTCATCGTGTGGCTGTCGTCTGCAGACAAGAGAACATAACAAGGACCAAAGTCAAGTCCCAAGACAGGATCTTAGTGAGATCCTACAGTCATGTGCACATTTAAGACCCACGCTAAGGGGCAGGTTTTGACCAATAAGACCAGAATCAGGTATAACAAGTCCCAGGTTAAGGGCCAATCTAAGACCATCAAATCGTAGGTTAAGATTTAAGTCAAGACCAAAGTCAAGTAACAAGACAAGTCCCAGGTAAAGTGCAAAACCAAGACTAACAAGTCCTTGGTTACGGTTTGAGTCAAGATCGTTTGAGGACCTACAAGTCAGGTGCAAATGTAAGAGCCACGTTAAGGACCAAAATCAGGATTAACAAGTCCCAATTCAAGACGCTACGGGTCCCAAATCATGTGGAATTGTAAGACCCACGCTAAGGGGCAGGGTTTGACCAATAAGACCAGAATCAGGATTAACAAGTCCCAGGTCAAGATGTTACAAGTGGCAAGTCATGTGCACATTTAAGAGCCATGCTAAGGGCCAGGTAAGTAAGATAAGATAAGAAGAGGGAGGTCATCACACTGAGGATGTAGTCTGTGCACACGTAACAGGAACAGAGAAAATGACGGATGGCATGGAAAATATTAAACAATAATAATAATGATAAATAAATAAAAATCAAGATAAACTATTTTATTGTTGTGATAAACATTATATTATAAACATGATGTGGTCCATAACACAGTAACATTATGTGATGCACGGATGAGAAGGGACGGATGGCAGACTCACTCTCAGGTTGGACAACAATCAAGCCCCGAAATAAATAAAATAAACAGGTAAATAACCAATAAGAGAGAAAAAGAGAGAAAATAATAACCAACTAAAATGGGGAAAATATATATAAATAATAATAATCAAAATAAAATGTAAAATAGAAAATAATTATTTTTTATTTTAACTAAAAAATTAAAACAAAGTCCATTCATTAAAAAGGGAAATATATAGAAATAATAATGATAAATAAAAAATAACAATAAGTAGAAATCAACAAGAATTTGTCATTTAAATGATAGTATAAAGATTATTTGGTCCCCAACACAGACATGTGACACGTGACGTCCAATCACATGACGGGAGGGAGGATGGTGATTGGCTCTGCTTTCTTTTCACACTGCTGCAGAAACTAAAGAACAGAAATCAATAAAACAAAAAGGAGTTGTGTCTCAAAGTCGACGGTCTTTAAAATTCAAAATATATTCACTTTAATTTGAGTTAAACGAGTGGGAAACAGCAAATCTCCAGATAACATACGGAAAATGGCTTTAACGGTTATTGAGATATATGGTTGTTATTTTTCTATAATTGCAGTTCTAGTGTTAGGACTGGTCCGGACCCATACAGCGAGGTATTGATCTGGTTGTGGTCCAGGGTCTTGTTGCTGCAGTGTGGAAAGAGCAGAGTTCAGAGTCCGGGAACAAAACAAACCTCTGAAAACCGACCACGACTCTGACCAACATTTTTAACATCACTTCCTCTACTCTGTCTCTCTCTGCTCTTATTGGCTAGCCTGGGGCTGACTGACCAATCAGAAGCTCTCTATCCCAAACAGCCCAACCAATCATGGAGGAGATGTGATGGAGATGGAGGCAGTGGATTGTGATTGGACGGCGGAGAACGACCACAACAACGAAAAAAAATCAATCAGAAAGAGAGGGAGGTGGGCGGGGCTGACACCTGATTGGTCGGAGGTGAAATGGAGGTGATTGGGTGTGAATGAGGCTAACTTATGACATCACAGCGGGGGTTCATGCGCAGTGGTGACCCCCCCAACATGAGCCCCCCCTTAGCCCCAAATTTAGCAACTTACCATTAATGGGCACTTTACACAGAGAAAGATAGAAGAAGAAGAGAGAGGAGACAGGGTTTAAGCAACAACTTTAGCTTTAGCCTGGGCTACACACAGCTAGCATGAATCAAACAGGAAGTAGCTCCTAGCACTGCTCTATTTGAACAGCTGGTGGCTAAGCTAACCTGGCTAACTGTACCCTAGCCTGTAGGACTCGTAGCCTCGGCTAGCATCCCTTAGCTCGCCTGAGGAGAGAGGAGAAACAGGAATTTATGCGACAGTTTGATTTCCCCTGCCTTCGACTTGGACGTTAAACTAGCCTAGCTGCACATTTAGGGTAACGGTTAGCTTCCGAGTTTAGCCTAAATTGGAAGCAGACTACGAATACGACTGCAGCCCCCAAAATAATCCGACTGCCCTTTTTTCCGACTGCCCATTTGCCTGAAAAAACTACTTTTATTCTGAAGGCCCGTCCAAAAAAATAAATGTATGGAAAGACTCTGAAAAAAGTTCTGGAAACCCGTTGATAATGTTCCTCAATCATGTGGGAACTTAAAAAAATAACATTATAGAGACCTCACTAAACACTAGAGGTTATTATGAGGATGTTTACGACAAAATATTTCCAAAGAAATTCTGAAAAGTCAGAGTCAAAATGTTGTAAAACTCTTTTGAAAAATTCTCAAATTATTTTCTGGTGGTCGCACAAATGGGCAGTCGGACAAGCGTTACATTCTTGGTATTGTTGGTGTTTTTGGGAACAATGGGTCATCAATATTTGTATAACATCTCTGTATACTGATTATAAATGAAGATAGAGATGTATTGGTTTCTTAGGAAGTTAAAGAAGATTGCATATTTTAGTTTTTTTTAACACAAAACGAAGTGCGTAGCGAGAAAAAACGCAACAAATCCTGCTGTTTAACAGACAAAAAACTAGATATATATAGAAAGATTGGCCTTAGCGTACTTTTTTGTGGTTTTAAATCGGTTATTTTATTAAATATACTAAGAAGAGGATTGGTAGACTCTTTTAAAGTATTTCCAAGGTACATTATTAAGGGAAACCTGACCTACCGGCTAGCTACTTAATATGCTAAATGCAGCCGGTCACAGATATACTGAATGGACCACGGAGGCTAGTTAGCTTAGCATGCTATCTTGATTTTCTATTGATGGTTTTTATTTGTTTTGTAATGTTTTGTAATGTTTAGTCTTCCCCCACAGTCCAGTGTTGTGTCCATGCAGAGGTCAGAGGTCGGAGGTCACACACAGACGTGACGTCAACACGACACGCAGGAATGTTGTGAAGCGGGGATGGAGTGAAGCCCACCGTTGTTTTTTCAAAATCAAACAACAAACAAGCCCCGAAATAAACAGGTTAATAACCAAAGAGAAAATAAAACATAAAAAAATACAAATTAGTTTAATAATCATAATAAAATTAATAATAAAGAAAATAGATAAACTAACTTAATATCACATTTTAAATAAAAAAAACGAATCATTAATAAATTAAAAAGGGGAAAATATATACTGATAATAATAAATAAAATAAAATAAAAGCAAGCAGGGATGGATGGAAGCCAAATATCACTCTCTCTCTCTTTCTCATTCTCTCCATCCTCTCACCTGTCTGTCTCTCCTCACCTGTCTCTCTCTCCTCACCTGTCTGTCTGTCTGTCTGTCTGTCTGTCTGTCTACTTCCTGTCTGTCTACCTGAGCAGGCTGTTAAGAGAAAAGGAAAAGGAAAAAGTGTCTCACCCAGGATGGCCGTCGGCACGAAGGGATCTGCCGTCAGGACGAAGCAGCGGAGAGAGAGACAGGTGAAGAGAGAGAGAGACAGGTGTAGAGAGAGAGAGAGAGACAGACAGGTGAAGAGACAGAGAGACAGGTAGAGAGAGAGAGACAGACAGACAGGTGAAGAGAGAGAGAGACAGGTAGAGAGAGAGAGAGACAGACAGGTGAAGAGACAGAGAGACAGGTAGAGAGAGAGAGACAGACAGACAGACAGGTGAAGAGAGAGAGAGACAGACAGACAGACAGGTGAAGAGAGAGAGAGACAGGTAGAGAGAGAGAGAGAGACAGACAGGTGAAGAGAGAGAGACAGGTAGAGAGAGAGAGACAGACAGACAGGTGAAGAGAGAGAGAGACAGGTAGAGAGAGAGAGACAGACAGACAGACAGGTGAAGAGACAGAGAGACAGAGAGACAGGTAGAGAGAGAAAGACAAACAGACAGACAGACAGACAGGTGAAGAGACAGACAGACAGGTGAAGAGAGAGAGAGACAGACAGACAGAGAGAGATAGAGAGACAGACAGGTAGAGAGAGACACACAGGACAAAAGCAAAAAGAAAGGAAGAAGGAAAGTCAGCTCTTCTGCTCCCTACA